CCGCCCTCCCCACTTGCCTGCTCTGGGATCGCAATGGGGTCCCAGCTGGCAGCGGGGCTTAGGCGGCACACAGGGGTCCCGGCCACCCAGGGCCGCACCCGGCCCGGATGGCGTCTGGTGCTGGCCAGTCCTGCCTGCAGTATGCAAATTAGCCGCCATCTTGGATGATGGCTAATTTGCATATGGCTCTGATTAGCCAATGGGAAGCGTAGCGGAGGTACAGTTAATTACCCTTTTTGTCTTTATTAGATAGGATAGATAGATAACAGGAGTTCCAGAAAGCAAGAGCGGAGAAAATAAAGAAGGGAATTACCAATGAAACAATCCAAGAAATGTTCCCAGAATTGAATAATAACAGTTTAAGACTAAAAGGACTTACTGAATACCAAGCTCAATATATAAAACACACCTACACCAAGATGCAGTATCAGAAATATCAAAGCACTAGAGCTGATAAGGAAGAGATTCCACTAAGTTCCAGAAGAAAAGTGGCTAACATATCCCCCCCAAAATGGAATAGTTTTAAATTTCTGAAGGAAAATTATTTCCAACCCTGAATTCAATGCTCAACCATACCATGACTTCAATGAGAACAAATTAATCACATTTACAAACATACAAGAAGTGTGTCACCAAAATGAAGGCATTAAGCCAAAAAAGAGAAAATAGAAACTGTAACACACAACAGAATTCTCAGAATGGTAAGGGGTGAGCCCTTAGGAGTAGATCAAAGGCTCCCAGAGATATTTCTTCAATGAAATAACAATTACAAAATATCTGATATGCACAGATATCTTTAGGAAAAATTTAGACAACTGGCAAAGTGGTGGGGGTGTAATTATTAACATGTATACAAAAGCTCTGAGTAGAGCCTGACCCACATGACTCAGTGGTTGAGCGACAACCTATGAATCAGGTCATGGTTCGATTCCGTCAGGACACATGGATTGTAACCTCAATCCCCAGTGGGGGCGTGTGGGAGACAGCTGATCAATGATTCTCTCTCATCATTGATGTTTCTATCTCTCTCTCTCTACCTCTCCCTTTCTCTCTGAAATCAATAAAAATATATTTTTTTAAAAGCTGTGTGTACAAATATATTAAGCTATAAGCAAATGAAAAAAAAATCTTACATCAGAAAGACAAAAATATGTATAGAAAAAGTAACCACGGTTCACTAAAAAGATCATCTCTGCTAGAATAGAGAATCACAGTAACATACATAAACACTACTGCTCTAACGAAATTATATAGAAGGATGAGAAAATGTACTTTTGTGTGATAGGGACAAGAGAAGAATGCTAAAACATCATAATTCACAGTGGGAAGTCAATAAATACCTACATCAGAATAATCATAAAGTAGCAATATACATGCTACTCAGAAACATGGAATAAATATCTCTGAGGAAATGAAAATGGGTAGTGGGATAGTGAGTACTGGAAACTCATAGAACTAGTCAGTTCTTTAAATTATGTGAATGTATCATTTCCATTAAAATTTATAAAAATTATGTCAGCATATTGGTATAAGCTCAAAACTCATTATTAAAATGCTCAGCAAGTTGACAATTTCTCACATCTGTCCCTACACCTTGGATTTTCTAGGTAATCTTTGAAAGGATTACCTTGTGCCATTAAACGAGGTGATTTTCTTGGTGATCTCACTGAATTTTCTTCTACTTTGTCCCTCAAATTCCTGTTAGGTAAAATCAGTTCTTCTTCATCAATGGTATCATTGCCACTTTCTTTAACAACTCCTTCGTCCATAATATCGTCAAGACCAACAACTAGAAAAAAACAAAAACAACCAAAAAAATTACTTCTAAAAAATATTGGGGATGTTTAAGAACGTAATGGCCTGTAGAGAATATTGTGAGAACTGAATGCAATAGTACATAGGCTTGAAAATCTAGGTCTATTCCTCGTATGTGATATTGCCACTACCGAGCTCCCAATTCAGGTTTAAAAACTTATACCTTATGAGGCAACTAGGAAAGGCTATAATCTTTCTTGATTTGACCTCCACTATCACTGTCACTTATTCACTGTACCTTTGTGAACATAACAAGCAACTATACCTGAGTACTTGATTACCAATTTTGGTTAAAGTAGTACAAAAGAGTTTAATATCCTAAAAAGCTTGTGATTCTAGATTCGTGCTAGAACCAAAAGATTCTAACTTTATATGCTACATGTATGAAAGTATTATTGTAGATAATACTTTTCAGTGGTAATACATAGACACAAATGAAAACACTGTGAAACTTCTCCTTCCCCCAAATGCTAGAAAAAATGGTAGTTGTTGCCCAGCTGGCATGGCTCAGTGGTTGAGCACTGACCTATGAACCAGGAGGTCACAGTTCGATTCCTGGTCAGGTCATATGCCCAGGTTGTGGGCTCAGTCCCAGTGGGGGTTGTGCAGGAGGCAGCCAATCAATGATTCTTCTCTCATTATTGGGGTGTGTGTGTGTGTGTCTGTCTCTCTCTCTCTCTCTTTCTCTCTCCCTCCCTCTCCCTTCCTCTCTAAAGTCTTAAATGGTAGTTGTTTAATATAGCTATATAATCAAATTACTTTCTCCTACTCAAAAGAGAGAAAGTGGGAAGATATAGAAAAGGATTGAGAAATACTTAAGAAAATATAAATACTGAAACACTTTACTTATACTGTCACTGGGTTTATTTCTTTATATAACAAATATACCTTAACTAGCTGACATAAAACAATTCTAAATGTGCAGTTGCATGAAATCTAGTAAAAAAGAATGTGATTATTTAGATCAGAAGGCCCAAATTCAAATCCCCGCTAAAATCTATAATAAAAGCGTAATGCTAATTAGACCAGACGTCCTTCCGGAGGAAGCCCAGGCAGCCGGGGCCCAGGCGGGGACCAAGCCCCTTGCACAAATTTCGTGCATCAGGCATCCAGTACTTAAATAAAACTTGACCAAGTCACTTAACCTAGCATATCAGTTTTGTTTTTTTATCTCTAAAATGAGAATAACAATACCTCTCCTACATACCTTACAGGACTTGTTGTGAGGAAGAAGTAATGTATGAAAACTCACTTTGTAAACTTTAGAATACTAGACATATGTTAGTTATTATCTTCATCCTAGGGGGTTAGAAGGACTCTCAACAAGTTATCTAGTCATCATCTTTGTAGCCAAGTAGAACTTCATGTAAAAGAGCTCAACAAGATAGTAGTCTATCCTAAAATTTAAAGAGAACAAAATTCCTTATAAATATAGTTTCAAATGGTACAATCTTTTTGAAGAGCAATCTGACAAATGGAATCACAAAACTGCTAATGCACGTTGACCACAAAATTACAAAGAATAGAAAAGTGGATTATGGAAAAAATGCTGGCTTTTTAAAAAACATACTTTGATCCTTGTTAACAAATAAATGAAATGTGTGTATGGACATTTAGATAAACAGAAAAATTAGCAGGAAATAGATGAAAATTATAACAGCTGTTCTATAAAAGACAAGAATATACTTTTTGCTGTTTTCCACATTTCCTGCCATTTGTATTACTCTCACAGAGTATCACTATGCTTGGCATTAAAAGCTTAGAGAATATACTTTAGGAAAATTCATCAGGACTCATTTAAGATATAATTTAAGGAGAAACAGGTGGGGAGTTTAGTTAGAAAGCTGTCCCACCATGATGGAAACATATGTTGCCACACATTCACATATATTCTCACAAGAATTTTTAATATCATATTTACATTTCTACCATGTTCATTTTAAAAAGCAAAATTTAAGACTTTTATCAATTTTATTTAAAAGCATATATACAATATATGCATTACAAATATGGACAGAAATAGTTAAAGAAAAAAAAACAAGTGTTATCAGTCATTATATCTCTAGTGGTAAGGTGGATAAGGAATTTTGGAGTTTTTTATTCATTGTTATTTCTGTGCTTTCCACATTTTCTACAATGAACATGTAAAGAAAAAAAACAATTCAAAAGAGGAAAATAGTCCAGGAGAAAAGTGACTAAAGTCTGAATAATAGTGTTTGTTGATAGAGAGTGAAAAGGTATGTTATGAATTTTAGAGCTATATTGCAAAGCAGAGTCAACAGGATTTAGCAAGCCAAATTCAAATGTCAGTTATTAAGTTTTACCATATTTCATTTGCTAGCAGCATCTGACACAGCTGACACTTCTCCCTCCACACTTAGCTCCTAGACATCACATCCTCCTATCTCACTACCCACTCCTTAAAATTCTTTGATAGAGCCTCCCACTTCTTTCAGATGTCTACATACTGGAGGACTTAAGGGGGTTCAGTCCTCCCTTTTCTCTTCTGTATCTACAGTCACTCCTCCCTAAGCGATCTCATCTAGGACCCATCTATACTTGGATAACTCCCAAGTTATTTTTTCCATCCCCAACTCACAGATGACCTTTAGAAGAGTATAATTTAACATCTCCACTAGGTATCTCAAGCTTAACATATTGAAAATAAACACTAATACCACCTATTCTCCCGCCCCTCGATAAAACTGCCCAACCTAGGATATTCCTAGTAACAGAACCCTCATTCATTCACCCCGTTGTTCAAGCCTAAACACTCTAGAACTATCTTTAGCTCCTCTCTCCTATCCCATGTCCAAGTTATAAGCACACCCTGCTAGCTCTATCTATAAAATATCACTCATCTGAGCCCTAGCCCGTTTGGCTCAGTGGATAGAGCATCAGCCTGCAAACTGAAAGGTCCTGGGCTCGACTTTGGTCAAGGGCGCATGCCTGGGGTTGTGGGCTCGATCCCCAGTGGGGGGCATGCAGGATGCAGCCGATCAATGATTCTCTCATCATTGACATTTCTATCTCTCTCTCCCTCTCCCTTCCTCTCTGAAATGTGGAATATTTTAAAATATTTTAAAATATATGTATCACTCATATGACCATTTATCTCCTCCACAGCTAACATTCCACTCGTAACCACCATCATCTCTCATAAAGACTGTAAGTTTCCTAGTATCCCAGGTTCCTCTATTGTCACCCCATCACACACAAAGCTTTTTCTCCACAGTCATCACTGTAATCCTTCCCAAATATGTATGTCCTAGGATTCTTATACTATCCAAGGATTCCCCAACAACTAAAGCACCTACTTATTAACCTCTCAGTGCCTTAAATGCTTCTATAAAGTGGAGATACTAGTGATCAGAGGGTTACTCTGATCATCAAATTAATATGTGTAAAGGGCTTAGAGAACAGTAATTGCTACATAGAAAGCCCTATATTAATTGTTAACTGTTTTGTTTCAAAGTATCCCCATTCATGTACCTCACAATCAAAAATTATGTATTCCTTCTCCCTTATTTTCTTCAACTTCCCTTAGAACAGCGGTTCTCAACCTGTGGGTCGCGACCCCTTTGGGAGTCGAACGACCCTTTCACAAGGGTCGCCTAAGACCATGGGAAAACACATATATAATTACATATTGTTTTTGTGATTAATCACTATGCTTTTAATTATGTCAATTTGTAAAAATAAAATTGGGGGTCACCACAAGATGAAGAACTGTATTAAAGGGTCGCAGCATTAGGAAGGTTGAGAACCACTGCCTTAGAACAAATTAACCACTAAAAAGGGTATCTGAGATTTCTTTCTTCTAATGCACAATTGAAATAATTCACAGTAAAGAATAATCTCAGGCAAATCCTTCAAATTAGGTACTTTAAAAAGTTTAATCCAACTGCTTTTGCTAAGAAAATGAGAAGTAAAGGAGAACCTGGGTTCTTTTCAGAACACTGCCTATTCTCAGGGCCCTCTCACATCTTCCCTTCCCAGGGACACAGGCAAGCTAAGATTCAGTATTTGATATCCAACTTTTTAAAAAGTGACCAGTCCTACTCAATACAACCACTAAAATGGGAACTTTGGTTTACCCCAAAAAAGTGCAATGTCCTGAATTGTTTAGAAGACAAGTTGTTCAGCCAGCCATACCATGCAGAAAAAACAATAAGCTTTTCCCCCATTCCCACATTTCAGAATTAGGTGTCATTCTCATTTGGAAATTTTGGCATAAAATCTAGAACCATACTCAGAAATCTCTTTTAACCTGAATTTAAATCACATTAAAATCCCTCCCCCATCCCTATACCGAAATGGCCCTAATTAAATGTGCTGAGGTCTGATGCCAGTCATGTCTATGGGAAGTCCTCCTACCACTAACACTACTTTATTTCAGACTACTTAATTCTGATCTCTTTTTTGGGAAAGGAGATAAAAGAAAACAGAACAAAACCATTTGGAGTTAGATTTATTAAATTTCTCAACAACTAGGATTAGTTTAAATCACTTTAGTACCATACAAAAGGGAGAACCACATTTGACATTTCTTAATTCATGCTGGCAGTATAAAAGCCAACTCAACTACTTCTATGGCAGGTATTTCCTCTATTATAAAAGTTCACATTAAGAATTAGATTTAAGAAAAAAACTAAAGACCATGATGTCTTTGCAGAGTCACAAGAATAAAGGTTAGACATCTATTTGATAAGTCTTGTGTTTTGAAACAGAGTAATACATGGATACATCCTAATAGAGCCCCCCACAGCTCTCTCCTATAACACTGCAGAAGACTCTCCAGCCTCAACTTGGCCTCCCTTCAGTTAGAGTTCTTTCCTTCATGGATAATTCATACATTTATTCCTAAAATAGGCTGTATCAGTCCATACGCCATCAAGTTTTATGTTATATGTAATTAACCATTTGGAATGAAGTTATCATTTTAGATAGTAGCATTTCCTAATTTGAAAAATA